AAATGCATTAAAAAAAAACATGATTTCAATATCATTGACAAAAATTCTATTTTATGACACAATCGGAAGAAACCAGCTATTTTTTCATTGTCAATGATAAGCTGTCATTGATGAATCATTATGGACAAAACGAAAAAAATCTTACAATTCTTTCGTCGTCTTACTGATTTTCTCGTTCTTATGTTCTCTTCAGGTATGTGATTCACTTACAGGTGTACTCAAAGGAAATACCTTTGAGAAGGAATAAAACCCAACATGCGTAGATGTATGTTTGTCTTGTTGCACAACACAATGGGAATCAATCCACAACTCATTTTTAACGTATATAAAGGCAAGTTTAACTGCTTGCATTTTCAGTAAGCACCGAGTAGTTTTTTCTCGGTGTGACAACATAACAAGTGACAAGTGACTGGTCGCAACGTAGTTTCTCTCGCGTCGGTATTAACAAGTAGTTCATGGCATTCTTCGTAGTTTCTCAGGTTTTCTAACTTGAGAATCTTCCGGCTTTTGGAAATATCACATTAACAAAGCAACTCTACTATCACTCTTCATCATGAGTGCATTTGAGTATAGTGCGATAGGTTCGATTGTCACCAGTGTTATTGACGTGTTGAAGTTAGTTTCGTTGGATAAATAATGACGAACTAAACTCATGTATTCACTTGGTGACAATTGTGAAAGAACGTCTTCAAAAGCCGAATAATGTCCCATGCAAAACTGTGTGAACCATCTATCTTTCTTTTTCAGTTATCCAAGAAATGCAAATACAATCATATTCTATTGTAAATTGGTGACGAACATGGATAAACAAGAAAAAATAATGTTTGATTATCTAATAGAGTATTGATTTTTGATACTGAGGAATCTAAATAGTAATAGTCATTTCATGTCATATCTGGCTTAGAAAAAATGTGACAATTTAGTGACTTGACATCGAATGAAACTGGTGAACTTCAAGTACTACTTTTTCCCAGTATATATGATGTCTGTTTGCATCGTAAACAAGCATTTTGAAGAAAATGCTTTAAACGGTGTACTTATGAGGCAAATATGTGTATTTGAGAAGCAAAATGTGAGAATTCGAAAGAAAACTCAGCAAAGGAATATTTTTGTTTCGCTTTATCGAATATTCTTTATACCATTCGGAAAAGTTCCTGATATCAAATCACGATGAATCATCAATGATTGTCAACATCTCGATGCGGGAAAAATTTGTTGTAGATCGAATTCTGTGTTGCTGACTAATTAGTTTACTATAAGAATGTAGTCTACGATCAATCTCGACTTGTTTTTAGTCAAAAAACGATGAAATATCGAGACCTTATATGTATACTTTATATTAAGGAAAAAGACGATTTTGTTTTACACATCAAGTAAGATCTGGTCAATATTCGAAGAGTGCAAATTGCGTACACATCAGAATGACCACACATCATAGCTTACTATTGATGAATGCTATAATAAAGAAAAAGTTATCTTGCAAAAGAAAATAAGCTTTCATTATAGAATAATATATTATTCATTCTAAAATACTTACTATCATATTATATGCTTGTGGAACTATAATATGCAAAAATAAAACGAAATAACTAGTTTATTCGTAGAAGACATATAATGATATAACTGCCTATGTTGCCTATATAAATTTAATAAGTTTTTAAAGCATTAACCCTTTATGTACCATGACTCAGCCAATGAATGAAATTTCTTTGAGAGTTTGTATTTAATATGGATAGTATGCATTGTTGATATATTCATCAAAACTTTTAAAAAAATCTTTAAAGTCATTTTTGGTCCATGCCTGTACTTCCCCACAGGGATGGCCAAGAAGTACTTTGGTCATACCTGTAGGGGAGTACGGGTGTGGGTCGAAATTCGATTGAGAGCTGTCGTCATATCAATCTTTGGAATATCACTAGGAGCCACGCCTAACTTGATTCCAACACGAAAAATCGAAATATTTTGCGGACCGCAAAAGGGCATTATTAGCCCTCCTTATTTTTTGAATAGAAGTGGTGTTCCACAGAGTCGTCAGACTTACTACCTGACTGACCTCATTAGGGTATTAACTCTTATATAGATGTATGCACGGAAGTCTCTTCTATGTCAGAGAGAAAACCACAGTTCGATATCATTTCGTGTTCGCGAGTTATTCAAGAACTAAGAGACTTGAAAAAACCGTACTTTATAAAGTACGCTAGTACTTAAAGGGTTAAATCGACTTCTATGATTATCTTATTCAACAATCTTAGTTTCCATCTATCTGTTTATTTTTCTTTTGTATTAGTCACATAAATATTAGTACTTTCCTCAAGAACGAAATTGCAAATCTTGAGTGTTATTAAAATCTTGTTGAACTCTAATAAGTTCGGCAGTAAATTCATTAAAATGGATTAAGATTCGTTTGAGTTTAGTAGATTTTCTCAGAGATTGGGCTACACTTTTTCTATTCAATGATTTCAATTCCATGTCTCTAAGCATTATGAAGTAATAACATTTCTTTTTCGCAGTGCATTGTTTTTTATTTATGACTTCTCAGTTCTTAATGAGTTTCGTTAGTCTTTTTAGGATTTCTTTAGATCTTTTTTTAAATCTATTAAAGTTTATAGTGCTTAGAATTCATCAGATTTTGCTGTTAACTCATTACTTTTCGTTAAAATAAAAATTAATGTAAATTATATTGAATATTTTGATTTGAACTAAGGATTTCACATGATTCTGTCGTCTTATTTATATAATCAACACTTATGGATAAGAATGTGACAGATTCTACTTGTTATCACATTTCATATTCATGAACATATAAATCGATTATTTTTTTCTATGCAGCTTCGATATTATCTTTTTCTGTTCATGCAGCATATATTAGATCACCCATGCAAAGAAAAACACAAACACATGAGCTGCTTCTTCACAGAGAATATTGACAAATATAAACTGGTATGAACCATATAGAATCAGACGAAAAGAGTTACGAATTTATCTGTATGCAAGAAAAAGACCAACAATGAATCCATAATAAATTCTAATTCACACGGGGGTCTCTATGAAGCACCTTGGATTCATGTTGCAACAAAGAATAACTTACATTTTTGCATGAAAACAGAGAGAGAAAAAACTTGATGAGACAAGAAATACACTTCATCTCATTCTATGAGAATTGTATTACTGCGAAATGTATCTGCTATGATTTTAGATTCTTGTTCAAGTTTATATACTTTGTTAAAGAAATTTTTAATTGAAAAAAATCAATATTTAACTGATAAAAAACTTTCTTAACAATTGTCAATCATAAATTGATTATCTCAATACGAAAACATATAAATTATAAATGAATTCGTATTTTTTTTTTGTTAGTTATCATTTCAATATTAATGAAAAAGGTCAACGGATATAGGCACCTTAGAATTAGTCGTGGCTCATACGAACTCTGTAGTATATACTTCAGTTTCCTTAGTACGTGTGCCATGATCCACTAGAGAGAAGTGGCAACACTAACGTGTTTTTCAGTCTGTAGAGAAGGATCCAAAGCTCGACTCTTGTTACTTCAAGCTACCTTTTAGATCAGTTTCACAAAGCAATTGTAAGTTTAAATAAAAAAATAAACGAAGATCGAACCTAATTTGTTGTTTTATTTGACGATGAAAGATAAGAATTGCTTAATAATGCTTTCCATTTACTAATTCATCTATTGCTAATGTTTCATTGACAAAATTCATCTGAAAAAAAATATTAAAAGAATAAATTTTAAGATAAACTATTAAAGTCTTTTATTAAATGAATTATTGTACGTATCATTCGTTGTTATCATTTTTTGATTTCACTTGTTTGTTTGTTTTTCTTCAAAGGTTGATAGAGTTCAAAATAGTTAATCGTGATGAATAAGAAGCAAGAGATGGAGAAACGTTAGGTTTTGTTGGATTAAACAAAAGATATACGTTTAAATGAAAAAGATAGTTTAAAAGAAATGATATTTAAGATTAAGATAGGTTTGAAAACTAAAAAAAAAAAAACAACATAGCAGGTTGAAATTATTCAATCAACTAATTTTTCACTATTGAATACTCGCACATGAGGGTGGTGGTGTGGACAATCAAGGTGATAACACACAGTTACACTCACACACTGATATACATTTTTTTACAATAATTTAAACATTGATCACTTTATTTATTAGTAGTCATTTGTTTTTGTTTAGAATATTGTAAGACTTCAATATAAAAACAAGAACCAGAATTCAGCGACATTTCCTCTACTATTATCTATATAAAATATTGATAATTTTTTTATGTTCTAAGACTATTTAAACAATTTAGAAGTTCAACCATTAGATTTGAATGAATGAGAGTAATTCAGAATCGCTGCAAATGTCATAATGAACTTTTTCTCTCTTGTATTAACTTCTAATGTGTGTCTACAATTATATACAGTTTTGTGTTCAATCTACGAACATGAATTTTTGCTCAGAATGTTAAATGCAGGTACTTATGAAATATTCGCTAGCTTTGCTCAAGGTACATCTGATTCGGTTTGACTGAAAAATGACAATCTCATGAGCAAAATCTAGTTTCAAGATATCAATGAGATGATTTGAGAAAACTAGGAACTTAAGATATTTCTCATAGAATAACTGAAAATAATTTTCAATTTATTGTTTGTATATTGAATTTGAAAAGAAAGTTTTTCATGATAAGAAATTTGATCGAACAGAAAATATGTGTATTATATCGCATAGTTATCATAAACCGAATAAAACTCATTTAATTTTCGCAAAGCTGACATTTTTCGCTTGACAAAAATTTTAAATTAGCACAAATCATATATAATATAGTTCCATCAAAAAAAAAAACACTTGAGATAAACTAACTTTAATTTTTGAAAGATGATGTAAGTTAATATACTCAAACGGCAATATAGAAAATTTTATTTTCATAAATTTGTTCAAGAACAAATCTTACATAAAAAAAAGTTTTTTTTTTTTTTTAATTTGATCAAAAACTTTAATGTATTTTGTGTGTTTTTCGATTATTTCCAATGGATAGAAGCATATAAAAATCATCTTCTTTACATGTAAATTTCTTTCGTCGAAGACGCCATATATTTCGTCGCAACCAATTCATTGAAATATAAGGAGCATGCTTTTCAAAATTGTACCAAACAACAATATTCTCAAGATATTTCAATTGATTAATTAATTCAATCATCATTTCAAGTGATATTATATCTATTTTCAAAGATTTAACATGTGAAAACATGCGACAAAATAAATATAAATCATCGGAGAATCTCCAATTTTCAATAGTAAACGAATAAATATGTGAAGGTGGTTTAAATAATGGAATTACATTTTTCAATATCAAATGATTTAAATGAAGAATATGTTCAAGTAATAAATGAATTTCACTAATTGATATATTTTGAATATGTGAAATATCAAGTTCTTTTATTCGATTAAGATCAACAATAGACATAACATTATCTATCGATGGTAATGTAGGACCAACAAGAACAAGTGAATTTACATAAATAAAACGATAATTCGGTGGAAATATTGGTTTATTAAACTTCAAGTATAAATGTTCAATGTGTCTCGAATAGAATATATGTTGTTCGACATCTGATGGTACTGTTGATAAAGGTGGATAATGATCTTTAGTATAATTAATACATTTAGGTAGAAATTGAGGTATAGAATAGACGTATATTTCTGAATGTTGGTTACAGTAGTGTTTATTACATGCAACATACCAATGTTTTTCTTCAAGCCAAAATGATGATCGAAATGAATCAAGTAATGTGGATTGATTTTGATTAGAAATAACATTTTTCGACAGTACAAATTTAAAATTGAATTTAACAATTTGCGTTTTTCGAAGAAATTCTTCCCATTGTTTACCATCGATTAAATCTAATGTTATAACAATCGTTAAAGATTTTAAATTTGATAATTTAATAAGATAATATTGAATTAATTCCAATGAAAAATAAGTTTTATTTATTAAACAAATCAATGTAAGATCTGTGAGACAATGAGATAAGTAATCAAAATTAAGTATTGAATAATAGTCTGTTAAATTTTGATTTTCAATAGAAATTGTTAAATGATTAATTGGTGAACAAAGTTTTTTAATCCATAAATGAAAATCATTGAAAGACGATTCGTTTCGTTTTAAAAGACAACAGAAAATCCTAATTCCAACATGACCAATGTTTAAACAAGTGAGAGAAGGAAAGTTAGTATCAATTAATTGCAATAAATGGATACAATCGACTTTCAAATAAGTTAAAGATTTTGCTTGTTTTATGATGGTATTAATAATAAGTTGAGAAACATATATACAACCTTGAAATGTAAGAGCTGAAACTGAATATGGTAAATCAGATAGAATATCGTCTGTTCTGATAAATTTTATACTACGAAGATGAATAAATTGATATTTGAAATGTGGAAAATATCGATAAAAAACAATTACTTGATCACCCATATCGTCATCAGAGAAAATAAGTGAAATGACTTGTTCAGGTTGAAGATAATAACAAATATAATCAAATTTTAATCGAGAAATTTTTCGTAAATCAACTTTTAATGGATATGAATTAATAATATTATTTAAACGATGATTGAGATTAATAAATGCATGAAAAATATCATAAGATGATAAATAATCAAATATTTCGTATAAGATTTCAATAGAAAATGATTCAAATCGAGAACTCATTTTGAAAATAAATCAACTGAAATGAATCGAGTATATGGATCTTTTTTTTCTGTAAAATAAATAAAAATGGGTAAAAATGTTCGGATAGTAGAGAATGATTCATTTATATGATTTCGAAAGATAAGAAAAAAGAAAATCAGTTTGTGATTGGACTAATTTATTAGATATATCGTTGTGCCACATAAGCACTTGTGATTATACGTGCAACATGAAAAATTTGAACCACGAATGAGAATGTGAGTGTATCACTTCTTCAATGATATTCACACCCTTATTAATTTCGGAAGATAAATGAACGAAAAAAAAACTTTTTTATCGATCTAAAAAGCTTTCGATGAAAACAGTCACTATGAAGTAATTCTGTTCTCTCTTCAAAAAGTGACGAAGTCAATAGCAAATGAATTCTATTTAAGTGACAATAAGTTTACTGATAAGTTTAATATGTGTGTAACGGAATGTATTTGCTGTATTACTTCAATAGGCACTATTTCAGTTTATTTCAACACCAATCTTCTATTATACTAGGATATGGGTGTGGGAGTGATTTTTGGAGTCTTCTATTGACACATGCTCAACACGTACATCGACATTCTGTGTTTTATCTGATGTGACTATTTAATGGATTTAACTGAAAAATTTAATTTCAGTTTTAAATTTTAGACTACTGAAATCAATAATTGAATATTTGTAAATGTTATAAAGTAATTAATTTTAACTTTCAATTTTGATCCCATTCATTCTTTTATAAATTTCATAATAAAGTGCTTGTTCGAATGTAATTGAGGTATTTACTCATGTTGCTCTCTTCTAACAAGACAGTTTATCTTCAATATGAGCTTACAATTGTAAAAATGCTTTATGAAATTCATCCCAATGGTTATATTCATGTTTCAGTTAGTCTTATTTTTCAGACCTTCGAATTCAACCTAAAAAAATTTCTCATCATTTTTCAGTATGTTTGAAATATGCCCGACATCATGTTAAGAATAATACGAATAACTAACTTTCGAAAATGGATTCTTTAAGACTCGATTATTTTATCTGTAATTTTTTGTAATCGCTAGCGTTGATTTTTCATGTCGACTTATTATGAGAAAAGTGTTGCTCAGTGATGGTAGACTTGTGTTCAGTCATTGAGATCGCGAATAAGTTATTTTCCTGCTGAGCAATCCCATATTTTTCGTTCCTTTTATTTCCGAGATAAAAATTTCATTGAATCAATGTGGCACTATCTCATGTTGGATTTAAAACATTCTTGATGATGACCTTTAGCAAATGTCGAAAAGTATCGTATGAATGCTTGAATCTTCTTCTGTAAAATTATCCTAATCTTTACTCTGCACAACGCTGTTCGTTCTTTATTGATTGGAACTTTGTGCTTGCACAATGAAGTATAATATAGAAAAAGACAATGAAATTTTAGATCTCGCGGTGTGCTTTAAAAAAATCGGTGTCATTGATAATTGTTAAATGTCAAATTAATCGAACTTGATTGAAACTGCTAATTCTTTTGGTACAGCTGCCATTCGTTGTACATGACCACCATTGTCGCCGGGTGTATCAACAAATGTGACAAACTTCATTAAACGAATAGTGATTACTTTTAATTCTAATTGAGCTAAATCTTGTCCAATACACGCTCGATGTCCACTACCAAACGGGGCAAATACAAATGGATGATGATTAGCATTGGGTGCATCAATACCATGAAACCGCTCAGGAATAAATTGAGTTGGATCTAATTTCCAGTTTCGAGGATCACTGTACATTAAGGAAAATGCAGATAACACTGTTTCTCCTTTACGTATTTTGACTCCATCGATAATAGTATCCTGAGTAAGTGTTCGGAACGAACCAAGACCAATCGGTGCTAGTCGTAATGTTTCTTTAATGACACAATCTATGTATTCACACTTATCCAATAGATCAAAATTATCCAAAGGTGTTTCCTTTGTAATACCATTCTGTTGCAACTCTTTTTTTATTTTTTGTTGAACATTCGGTTTCTTACTGAGATAATGCATAAACTAAGATAGAACACTCGAAGTTGTTTCATAGCCACCTAAAATCAATCCTAATACTTCGTCCAGTAATTCTTTTTTCGAAATTCCTGTCCTTTCTGTTTCACGTTTTGACCGTTCCAAAACTTCATCGTTTTGTAATGATGATACTAATGATGCAACAAGATTGACCGATTTCTTATTTAGATCTGCTTCTTGTTGACATTTGACAATTATTTTTTCTACATAACTTTCTATTGTTTTTAAGGCTTTCTGATATGTTCTATCAAACTTCAATAAATAGTAATTAACAAGCAGTGACATTCCATTGACCGTGACGCGTTTCAATCCACCAAGCCAAATTGACAATGCTTGACCTAATTCAGATACTTCAGCTTATTCTTCTGTGTTAGATAAACTAGCAGCTTTCGATAAACGCTATAAATTAACAAAATCATAATCAAATGTGAGTATTGTGAACAAGTCTAACATTAGTTGCTGATTATCGTCCACTAAACATGTACAAATAGCATCCTTTTTGTTTTCATATCTTTATTTCCAAATGCTGATCAACTGATCTACACAATCAGTCATAATTGAAATTTGTGATTTGAATTTATTTTTTCTAAGCATTGGTAAAATTACTTTTGCATGTCGTTTATACGTCGAACCACTAAGCGGAATTATTGCACTTTCCGCTATTAAGCCGCATGTTTTTGTTCGTATTTCAGCATGGTTAAATCAATGACGATTCGCATAGATTTATTCTGCATGTTCAGGACGACAAAATACATAAAAATGGTTGGTACCGATCCAAAATTGAAAAATATCTCCATATTGCTTTTGCATACGTAAAAAACCATGAATAAACGAATCGACTACAACTTTGCTTGATGTAATGATACCAGCCTGACGAACATTACCAAATGGAAATTCAGGCTCTATACCAGACACTGGACCACGTAGTGTAAAGTACTTCCATTTTACGTAGAAATAGATCGCACTGAACAATACTAGGATCGATCATAATAAGACAGTCCAAAACATAATCTAAAAAGTTACATAGATTTCGAGAACAAGAACAACAGAAATATTACATGGTTCAGAAAAAAGTTCATTAAGTTCTGCGTTAAAGTGTATATACGACTTTTTCTCAAAGTATTCTCAAGCCGAGATAATGAACATCCAGCAATAGCTAAGTCGGATTGTTATACTCTTTCTTTTTTCCACGTAGTTAGATGTCTGTTGTGTCGTGCTGGACTCTTCTTTAGTGTCTAATTTCATTCAACAATCTGAGCTGATACCAGATCCGTGTCCTAAATGAAAACTGAGTGACATAAGATATGTTAAAACGTTTTTCAGAACCAATATGAATGGACAGAATGGCCAGATAGTCAACTTTCTAGATCAATAGAATGTCTGTTTTGAACATCTAAATACGTAGTTTTATAGAGCGTGTCAAAAATTATAAGGCACACTGTTCTATCGAACTAGGCTTTCTTTCTGAACACGGATATGGTGTCAGCTTTGATTGTTGAATAAAAGTAGACACGATGAAGAGTGCAATACGACACAATAGACATCGAACTAGGTGGAAAAAAGAAAAAGTATGATGATCGAACTCAACTTTTGGTTGATTTTCGTTATCTTGGCTTGAAAATACTTCAAGATAAAGTTATATCTATACTTCAGTGCAGAACATAACAAGCTACATGTTTATCATATTAGTTTTTGACAACATTAAAGGCACATTTTTATGTCCGAAAATACGATATTTTCATTTTTCCAACGTACATTGAAGTCTGCAAGATAAATCGTATTTATAGTTTCGAACAATAGAACGAACTCTATCTATTCCTATAAAGTTGGCCTTTGCAATTATAGCATATTAAAAAAAATATTGAGATATAGTGATAATCTCGAATAGTCCACTTTGAGAGTACTAAAAGATTGCATTCAGTAAATCAACTTTAGAAAATCAGAAACAGACTTTTAAACCATATTAGTTTGGATTTACGTATCGTATTAAGAGAATCACCTTAAGAAATGGGTGATGTAAAATATGTGGATTGAAACATATTATGTCGCATCATTGCCAACTTTTTTACCGGCATCGTTTTATGTTAAAACGAGGGCCTTTCTTTCTAAAGATGTGGTCGTGTCACTGATTTTACTACTAATATTAATGATACTGATAGAGAAGACGACAACGTGTTATAATATTTGTACCAAGTCTGTATGCTAGCACTGGTTTGGAAGAAAATTATTGATAAAGTAGTGTAATACTTCGAGAAAGGTTGTAGAATTAGCAACAATTTTGCTTGTCCTTGTTGATGACAATACTGAAAAACTTCTAAGTAGAAAAGGAATGATTTGTTTAAAATTTTTAGGAATACTATTTGATAAAATCGAACACGAAACTTGCTCCATTTCGATCATATCAGTTCTCATAGAGAGACGTGATCAATAGATGTTGACGTTGGAAAATTATTGTACTGGAGGCAATGTATTGCAAATGAAAGTAGAGTTGATTTACTTTAAATGAAAATGGCCTCACCCGAGAAATAAGCGAAACTTTTGTGGCGCGTATGTTGCCTCGCTCTACTTAACACATGTCATCAGAGAGAAAATGGACTGAAATCTATTTCATGCAAACGAAGAGAACAAGAGGTAGCGCGCACATATAATTAAGAAGAGAAAGATAAGGAAAAATATGATCGAGGTTTAGTGTGCTTGATATTTGACTTCGAATAAATAGATAACTAGAAGTGGGGGTGAAGCTGTTCTTCGCGCTCGCATACGCGCGCAAAGCACATTACAGAAGGAAAAAAAAGTGTCAAGTGACAAAACAACAAAAAGACCACAGTACACGTTTGCAAATAAAATCACTAGACTAGACGCAAAAAAAAGCAGAAGAGAGAACAGCTGCATTCGTCACTGGTCATGATACTATAATCATTCGTTGATTTCTTAGCCGAAATCTTTGAGATTTTCGTGCTAGACCCTTAAAAGATTAGACATGAAATTTGCACATATTCGCCGTTGTTTTTTCTGAGAAATTTCTTCATCATTATCAACACTAACATCTTCACGCTAGCCCCACATACATCGCACAGCCCACATCCACCCACCTTCAAGTTTCCAGAGTGATTATTGTAAAGAATTTCTATTGTAGTGATTCGTTTATCGCTTAGACATAACTATATGTCATGGGAACGAATATCGAACAAAAAACTCAGTCATTGCAATGAAATAGTTCAAAATTTGTAAACTACGGGTTTCTTCTTATTTGATTCATAAACGTCTGATAGTTCAGCATACAATTTGATTATATTATTCATACGATCGAGCAGAATTTGTCGATCATGATCATTCTCATCGAGACTATTTATCATCTCCTGAATATTGTAGCTGCACCAAAATGCATTTCTACGATTGTAAAATGGACGATTGTCTTCAACATTTCCGAAAACTTCCTTTAATATTTGAATATCGTACGGCATATTAAAACGATCACGACTATCTTCGTAGCTGAAGAGATAATAGAAATTGTCATAGCCAGCCCAAGTAATAGCCGAAAGACAAAGTGAACATGGTTCGTGAGTACTGAGAAAGATACAATCTTTCGGATTTGGGAAACTGGATCGATCCTTTATTTCCCAGAGCTTTTTGATTACGTTTACTTCACCGTGCCAAAGTGGATTTTCTACTTCATTGTTGGCTTCGGCAATAATAAGCGAAAGGTCCGACTTTTTAAGAATAGCTGCACCAAAAACACCATTGCCTTTTGTAATACTAGCTCGAGTCTTGGGTAAAATGTCTAGTTCAATGATCGTGAAAAACCGACTGATCAGATCGACACTATTCATCTGAAACTGAAATCAAAGATTATTTTATTTGGGCAGCTACAACATGGTCTTCCATGCCTTTGCTTTTAATGTGTTTTTACAACTACTGAAGTTACATTCAGTTGTTTTATTTACTCAAACACTTCTTTATCTTCGATCTTGTGAGAAGGATTGTTGACTGTTCCTTTTTTGGTTGTATTTACACACTTTACGTACTGTCGTTCTTTTTCTATTATAATTTTAACAAAAAGCACTAAAAGAATTATGGTAGTATTCTAAAAATTTTCCATCTTAGCTCAAAGTTTGGGTATGGATGTGGATGTAAACACAATCCATATCCATACCCACACTCTCAAATTTTGCACATGTCATTCGGCCAATTCATCGACTTCGAATCATGTTCAAACAGCAGATTGCTCTTGTTGTCAAATCTATTAGTTTCGGTCAATTGACTTGATCAGTGCTGCCGAGGTTTCTGGATGAACAAAAGGTTTTGCAGAGCAGAGCAGAGCAACATCAACACGCCATCCACACTTAAACTCAAACGATTCTCATTATTAATCTTCCGAGAAATTAAAAAATATGTTTACAACCCAAATATTTTTTTGTTTTGCTGCTTTTCATCCTCATTTTCTTCGTACTGATTTTGATAAAATCTTTCATTTTGTTTCATCATATTTACACATAACAACAACTGCTAATGATGATCATCTTGTACCAAGCGAGTTATTTTTATTTGCTTCATTCAAATTACTAGTTTGTGTATTTGCAAGTTATTATACAAATATAGTTGGCGATTGACATTTAGATTCAATATTTAAGATAAAATTATTTATAAAAACAAATTGAGATAATAAAAAAATTAATGAATTAGGGTGTTGGTATGTATGAAGATAATAAGAACTCAGACCCACATCCACTTCATGTTGAGACATATGGTAGAAATAATGCAAGTGTACAACAGGCTTATTTTTCAGTTCTATCAATGATTAGAGTATTAATAATAATAGCAAATAAAGAAAAATGAAGTGGAAACAAATCGAAAATAAATATCGTGCGAAGAACAACAACGTAAATAAAACTAATGCGGTAGTGAAGAAAAAGTAAAATAAAGTTCTGTTCGCAATGCACAAATAAAAAAAGGCAAAATGTTTTTCTGACTACCGATTTCTTTAGAAGTTTGTTATCATTTGTTAGAAATTTTTCACTTTTTATGTTTTGTATTTATATTATGAAGGCAAGTAAGACATGTGTATTCTATATTTAAAGTCTAAATGAGCCGAAATGATGTGTTTTTTTTTCTTTTATATATAGGAAAATTTGCTATTTAGGAAGTACGCCGTGAAGATAGATTTTATTCATCGAAAATCGCGCAAGGAATAAAGATAAAGCGAATACATGCCAAAAAGACTAATAATTCAACATATTCGATATCTTAAAACAGTTTCTTGTTCTATTAAAGTTTGGTTTTTCGTTTTCAAAAGAAGAAAAACGAAATTTTATTGAGTATATAGAGAAACAAGCACAAGTAATTGAAAAATCGAAATTTCATTGATTAAGTTGATTAATTTTGATAATAATTGCTTAAAATCTGATGAGAAAAAATAGATTATTATTCATGCAAATAGGAGAAAATTTGTTTAGAACTTTTTTCATTCATCACAGAAAAAAAACGACTAAAATCGATGTTTTTTGCACAATTTTTAATGAATTTTAATCAAAATTCAAGAATAACATTAGTTGCTCTTGCATAACAGATATAACCTCTTTTACAAAAATTGTAGAATAGTCTACTTCTTAACATAGAATAACAAACCTTGTTGCTGAAAATGTGGAATAATGAAGCCATCTACGAAAAATAACGAACTCTTTTTCTGAAAAACCTATAATTATAATCTGTTTCATGAAAAGATACAATAACAAAGCATTTTCCTGGAAACGTATAATAACAAATTGCTGAGTGTAGAATAATGAACCATTCTCCTTAAAACACCAGTGCAGTTAACGTTCTTATTTTCATATATTTTTGGTTTTTAAAAAAAGAAATATTGAGATCAAGAAAAACGAAATACAAAAAAGAAAAAGCAAACATAATTTATTGTCAGTAGAATAAACCTGTTCAAATTTCAGATATAGAAAGAGTCATCCGTATTTTCGGTGATCAACTATTTTGGAATACAAGCATAGTCTGCTGAATACTTAGCACTTTATGTATCTCTGAATAGTATACTGAAGGTAAAGAACCACTGAATTCTACAATTCAGGTTTTAGCGGATTATTTGTGAAATCAATGAAAGGTGATTCAATTTTTAATCTGTTATTTAGAATATTCCAAACGGAATAAATTTGAATATATTATTCTTTCAATTGTTTATCATCAATTGAGTGCTTAATCGATTATTTTGATTATTTCAAGCTATACTTTAGTAGCTTGCTGTTGTAACCGATTATAATCGATTGAATGCTTAATTCATTACTTGGATTATTCCAAACAGAATAGATTATAACCCTTTCGGAACGAGATTATTTTGTTAAAAAACAACTAGGAGAGAGAAATAAATCAGAATGATACAGTGTGATAGATTATCGCACCCACGGAAAAATTTTTTTCGAGAAACCGGTCGAAACCGCGGTTTTTTTCATTCGACCGCGGTGTTACCAGAGGCAACCGCGGTTTGGATTAAAGAACCGCGGTTGATAGCGGTTTTTCTGAACCGCGGTTTTCTCAAACCGCGTTGCTTGTACTCATAACCGCGGTTCTAAATACCGCGGTATCCAACGGTCTAAAAAGTCGCGGTATAGTAATTGGAAACTGCGGGATTTCATAGCACGGTATTCAACGGTTTTCAAAACCGCGGTGATAAATACCACGGTATTGAGTGGTTTTTTAAACCGCGGTGTATTCATTAGTAGTTGCGGTGGTAAATAAGGGCGGTACTGAGCGGTTTCAAAAACTGCGGTATAGTCATTAGTTATTGGGGTAATAAATACCGCGAATATTCAGCGGTTTCTAAAACCGCGGTTTAGCTATTAGTAACCGCGGTGGTGAATACCGCGACATTGAGTGGTTTCTAAAACCGTGGTACAGTCATCAGTAATTGCGGTAATGAATACCGTGGTATTCAGTGGTTTCTAAAACCCCGGTTTAGCAATTAGTAACCGCGGTGATGAATACCGCGGTATTGAGTGGTTTCCAAAACCGCGGTACAGTCATCAGTAATTGCGGTAAAAAATACCGCGATATTCAGCGGTTCCAAAACCGCGATTTAGCAATTAGTAACCGTGGTGGTGAATACCGTGGTATTTAGCGGTTTCTAAAACCGCGGTACAGTCATCAGTAATTGCGGTAATAAATACCGCGATATTCAGCGGTTTCTAAAACCACGGTATAGTCATTAGTAACTGCGGTGGCAAATACCGCAGTGTTTAGCGGTTTCGGAAACTGCGGCGTGCCATCGAGTGACCGCGGTGTGATATTACCGCGTTTTTCACCAGAGAAACCGCGGTATTTTTAGTGCTTATACTATCGTGATGGAATGTGTAAGGACGAAGGAGATGTCGTGCCCTGCTATTTTCATGAAAATTTTGAATAAGTTTTCTTATTCTATCTCTCACTACAAAGTAACTTTGTGGTAATGGAACTTCTAAAAGTTCACTACAGGCCCCTTGAAGGGTGGATCATCTGAACTTTATTATAAGTTCAGATGAGTCTAATCCTACCTGAGTCAGGTGTGGCCAAGAAAACCGCGGTATATGGCGGTCTAAAAAACCGCGGTATATGGCGGTCTAAAAAACCGCGACTTCCAGCGGTTTAAGAAAACCGCGAAAGTCAGACTTTTATTCAGTTTTTTGAAACCGTCAGAAACTGCGGTATTTGTACGTTGCGATCATGACTACTTGAATAAACCGCGAAAGTCAGACCTTTTATGCGGTTTTTCCAGACCGCGGTAATCAACGGTTTTTCGAAACCGCGAAAGTCAGACCTTTTATGCGGTTTTGGATACCGGTGAAAACCGCGGTGTAATATTACCGCGGTTTTCGATGGTTTTAAAAACCGCATAAAAGGTCTGACTTTCGCGGTTTCGAGAAACCGTTGATTACCGCAGTTTGTGAAACCGCGGTAATGAACGGTTTTCCTTTGAAAATTTTTCCGTGGGCAGAACAGAAATGAGAGAAAATTAGGATGTAGTATGCACGTAGTATTAAGTGTATATCACTAGATTGAGAATGTTCTAACGTATAGGCAACTATTTTCGACCATCAACGCATAAAATATTTCTTCATTCAAAAACAATCGGTGATCACTATAGTGGTCATCCGTTCTGAAAGGATTAACGGACTATTGTAACTGTCGATTAAAAACGATTTAATTTCCAATCTAACGGGTGCCACATACCAAATGGACCTCTCGTTGTTTTGGTTATATTTCGATAGCATCAAAATGTGAAAGACTAAATTTTTTTTTTAGATGCGTCTTTCAATTCTCTACAATCCTGCCTTTTTCAACTGGTTCGATTGAGATTTGTTAGTTCATTACCGACTGTGAAACAGATTGATCTAAAAACCACAACTTTCGAACAACAAATTGGTAGTGCGCAAATCCATGGGAAGTCAACCAAAAAAACACAAAGTATTCAAAACAGTTTTCTTTCATGTCAGAATTTTTGTAAAGCTTTTTTCGCTGATCATTTTGGTAAAAAAAAAAACTTCTTGAGCGTCATCGAGAAATGATGATGTTATAGTCAAAATACTAAACAAGCTTGAAATACAGTTTTTCCAGATAAGTAAACGTAAAAAGTAGATTAGCATATCTCAAAACGACCATATTGTGGAGATATATGACATGGTAGGTTTTCTAGAGGAAAGTTTGCTCTACAAAACCCTATGATTGATTTCTCAGATACACTCGAATACTATGAATAAATTTCGGTCGAACACTGTATAGGCTATTTGTCTTAAAAACAGAAAATGGCATACTTTTTTATATGAATATCGTATACAATGTTCTATCGAGATTTATT